TTCTATGCTGTGCGATGTGTTCCAGTTGAGAGTGAGCTGAGTATCACAGGGTTGTGAGGGAGTGCACAAGCCCACAGGGGAGCGTGGACTTGGGGTGTGTGCAGGGGGCCTCGAGTTCCGTGGTGGAAGAGGCCTGTGGAGAGGCTACCACACCAGGAGACGGGCCAAAGGAAGGCCTTGCCTTTGGGAGAAGCATCACTGACACAAGTTTCCTCTACAGATGCATGATTCCCTGTCCCCGGGCGGCATCCTGTAAGCTTTAATGTGAATCACCTCTCGGCACACACATTCATTGTGGAAAGAGGTTTTTGGCTTCCCCCCCTTTTTTCCCAGACCTGGGGTTGAACTCAGGGCCTGGACACTGTTCCCGAGCTTCTTTTGCTCAAAGCTAGTACTCTACCACTTGAGCCACAGCACCACTTCAGCTTTTTCTGTTGATGTGGTACTGAGAATCGAACCCAGGGGCTTTCATGCATGCTAGGCTGGCACTCTACCACAGAGCCACGTTCCCAGTCCTCTAGGGGGCTTCTTTAAGGCAGTGGAAGGGGCTGTTCCCCAGGCCAGTGGACTCCTCCTGGCTTCCCTCCCTACCTGCTGGGAATGTCACATGCCTTCACCCCCCCCCCCAATGTGCTGTCACCCCAGAAATGTGTATTCTGTTTTCAAGATCCCAGGTGGAGGGCATATTGCCTTTGATGGTTCAGCTACATTATTCGAAGTCTTCTAGAACAGGGATTGTACATGTTGAAGCTCATGCTGTGTCGGAGCTGCTTTGGGCCCCATGAGCTGTTTAGCTGCACCCCTGGTTTTACCCATGCTACCACCGACTCTCCTCCACTACCTCCCCTCCCCAACCCGGTGTGACAGCAGGATCTCCCTGGGGTGTGATGTCACCCGTGTCGACCAGTGGAAAACCAAGGTGGTCCTTCCTTCTTGCCATCTCTGGGGAGTCACACACACACAAGTTCCAGTAATTTCCTTAGGGAAAGCAGAGTCCTTATGCTACACAATGTTAGACTCTTTTATGCGACCACTGCAGTACAGCATGACAACGTGGAAATGGAATTTTTAACAAAGCTCACTTAGGGCTTCTGGGTAGAGATCCAAATCCTTGAGATTATGGTACTTCATTATATCAGATTGTGCTGTGGGTTTTTTTTTTTCTAGTTGACAGATTGGATTTTTTAAAAAAAATAAAAAATCATGGCAGTTGGATTTAACAGTAATATTTAGGATCAGGGAAAGGAGGATCAGGGAGAAAAATAATTTCCTCTTGTTACAAATGTCCTTAATTGAATTCGAAAGAATGTGTTTGGGAGAGCGAGCTCCATGCCAGACAGAAGGTAGTGAAGCCGGGCAGACACTTCACGATCGAAGTCAAACAGATCCAAGATGCTTTGCGACCCAGGGAAAGGGAGCTGCTGGGGGCTCTTCTGCAGGGTAGTGGATGTGTGTCTCATTATCAAGGCCGCGGGGCCCAGGTATCTGGTTAAACTCCATTCTGGGTCATTCCATGACTGCGTGTTTTGGATGAGGTTTACGTTTAAACGGCGGGCTTTGACTGTGGGGAACTGCCCCGCATATGGGGCTGGGCCTCGTCGGATCCAAGGCTGATGGTCCAAAGTAAGAGGAAATTCTGCCATGGATGAACTCTGCCCGCACTGCTGCCCGTCTCTCTCTGCATCTCCAGCTCCCCCACTGCAGATCGTGACCTAAGGCCTCCACAAGCTCAGGAGACGATTCCTCTTTCCATTTTTGTTTGGTAGCATTAGGGTTTGAAGGCAGGCACTCTACCACTTGAGCCACACCCCCATCTTTTTTTTTTTTTCTTGGTCACTGGTCATGGGGCTTGAACTCTGGGCCTGGGCGCTATCCCTCAGCTCTTCAGCTCAAGGCAAGTGCTCTACCACTTGAGCTACTTCTAGTTTTCTGGTGGTTTATGGAGATAAGAGTTTCACAGCTTTTTCTGCCCAGGCTGGCTTTGAACTGTGATCCTCAGGATCTCAGCCTCCTGAGTAGCTAGGATTACAGGCGTGAGCCACCTGCACCCAGATCTCCATCTTCTTTTTTTTTTTTGCTTTAGTTATTATTATTATTTGGATAAGGTTTCAAGAATGGCCTTGGATTTTCCTCCCCACTCCTCCCTCATAGCTGGGATTGCAGGCATAAGCCGGTGTACCTGGCAGATGCAGGAATGCACTCTGAGAAGCGTGATGTTGGCTGATCTTGTTACCTGCAGTCATCAGAACATACTCAATACAAACAGAAGGGCCATACTGTTCTGGAGTCTTAGTCATACCGCTCTCCCGCTGTTTGCGGCCTGCCGTGCCCCAGAACCCCACACCATGGCTCACGACTGTGTGTTCAAGTCCTGCTGTTCCCGAAGTGCCAGGATGCTGGCTAACACATCTGCTCTGAGGAATTCCGAGAGCTCGGAGTTTCATGGCCCGGCCCCTGCTCCTCTCCCGCAAGCTGCTTGAAATGCCTGGGTCTGGGGTTTCTGTTTTGTTTGGTCCTGCAGAGGCCAGCAGGGTACCAAGTTGCGGGGGGGGGGGGGGGGGGGGGAGGGAGGGGGAGGAGTCTATTTTCAGTCGTGTAAAAAGCCGCATTTAAGTAGCACAGCAGCCGTGCAGGCAAGAGACAGATGTTTGGGAAATCATGAGTGACAGCCCTGCTGGGCTGGATGGTATCTGCTCACACTGGCTCTGAGCTGCCTGCGGGGGCTCCCCTCCCTCACCCCCTGTGCACGCTGGGAGTCACCTGGCACCCGTGGAGGCTGGAGGACGGTCTGCGGGCGGGGTTGTTCAATCATGGCCGTGGCCGTGCCACTTGCAGAGCTTGAGACAGTGGACTGACTTGACTGCAACCTACTCTCAGCTCAAGGCCGGTTCCCATCTCTGGGTCCGCAGCCTCATCTTGGTGTTGGCTGTGACTAGACAGAGCCCCATAGCATCTCTGACGTGCTCCAGGGAAACCGGTGGTAGTCCGCGGGGCCACACGGGACCCCACGCTCCTGTTCTCCCACCGGCACCAGGTGAGGGCTCTGATGATCGCCAACACCACCGCCTGGCTCTTTGATTCCAGCCCGCTTGGTGAAGAGGTATTACACCGTGGTTTAGCTAAAAAGAGCATCTTTCTCATTGGCCGCTGATGTCTCCTATTTGGAGAAATGTTTGCAGACAGTGACTTTTTTGTTTTGTTTTGTCTGGTGCCGGTCCTGATCCGTGAACTCAGGGCCTGTGTGCTGTCCCTGAGCTTTTTTGCTCAAGGCCAAAGCTCCACTTCCATGGACTTTCCTGCCCGGGCTGGCTTTGAACTGAGATCCTCAGATCTCAGCCTCCTGAGTAGCTAGGATTACAGGTGTGAGCCTGCGGTGCCAGCACTGACAGTGAAGTTTTGGACACTGAAGTTGACTTTCCCCATCCATCTGTGAACAGGTCAACAGAAAACAAACAGAGGGGCTGGGAAGGTGGCTCAGTGGTAGAGCGCTTGTCTTGCATGCCTGAGGCCCTGGGTTCGATTCCTCAGCACCACATAAGCAAAAAGAAAAAAGCCATAAGTGGCGCTGTGGCTCAAGTGGTAGAGCGCTAGCCTTGAGCTGAAGAGCTGAGGGACAGCGCCCAGGCCCAGAGTTCAGGCCCCACGACTGGATTAAAAAAAAAAAACAACAACAAGCAGAAACACTACAACTCCCCAGCCAAGGACACGGGGCTGAGTGTCAAGAGCCATCGGGTCCAGGGGCAGGTGGCCTCCGTGCCTGGTACTCATCTTTCCTGGTCTCCTCTCCATCTTCCTTTTCTGCCTTCCGGGCCCAGTGATGGTGCAACCTCATAGCACACGTCTGAAAAGCGACTTACATGAGCAGCCAAGCACTTGGCATAGGCTGGGAGCCGGGTCTTGGCTTTCCAGTGCACGGTGGGTTTTTGGGTCGAAGGAACAGTGTTCCTGCCAAAATGAGCGCTCAAGTCCTGACCCGCAGGACTGTGGCTGGGCTGTATTTGCAAACAAGGTGTGTGCGGACCATTCGCGAGGATGGGGTCGTGCCGGAGCAGGGTGGCTATGAGCCGATGTGTTGTCTGGGCCCGTGGAAGAGGGGTGGCCGACACAGATACTCACAGAAGGAGACAGCCACACAGCCGAGAGCGGGGTTTGCTGCTACCAGCCAAGGAACAGCAATGCAGGTGCCAGCCCGGGAGGCGGGAGCAGGTTCGCTTCCTCCCGCAGGGGCCCCAGAGGCGGGCCCTGCCTACACTGCCACGCCAAACTTCTGCTCCCCAACTGACAGAGCATTTTGAGGTACTGGGGTCTGAACTCAGGACCTTGGCACTTACCGCTTGAGTCACCCTCCAGTCTAGCCCTCTTGCTGTTCTGAGCCAGTCTGTGTGGCCCTCGGTTATGAAGACACCAGTGTGGATGGGCAGTGTTCACGAAGACATGAAAAGCCTTGTTTGTTCGGCCTTTCCACTGCCATCACTGGCCACAGTGCGGAGCCCTGTGATACAAAATGAGCAAGAACATCAACGTGTCTTCGTGTGGTGTGGGAGACAGATGTATGCATGACGGTAAATGGCAGCCTCCATGGGACGGCAGGGCTTTGGGGAATGCAGATTCCCAGGCCTGTCCTGACCTAGGTTAACAGCTGTGATTATTTCCTTGTTTTCCTCCTAGGGTCCAGACCTTCTGATACAAGCAAATGTCTTGCATGTCAAAAGCTGTGAGCTTACCGCAAATAATTCTCTTTTAAATCTGTTCCCCCAGGGCCGACCTGGCAGTGGACCAGCTGCCAGCCCAAGTAATAACGCTTCAATCCACTGTATTAAGCTTTCTGTGCACTGACAAGTTCGGTAGATGATTATACCCGAGGTGCCAGGCGTCCAGCTGTTCACCTTTGTGTGTGGGAAGTGAGCTTTGGAAATATCCATCGCATACGCATGTTTGTCTTTCCGAAACTGTTTGCTATCCGGAGTAAGATGTGAGACACAAGAACAACAAACCAAGAGGAGACACGCAGGGGTTTTTAATCATCGTTATCACCCTTGAGATCAGTAATGGAGAAACTCATTCGGGAGAGCACCGGTGAGCCAGGCGGCGACGCACATGGGCATGCGCCTCTGGACGTGGGGGAGGGGCCCCTGCCACAGAGCTCGGAGGGCCTGTGGATGCTTCTGGATGTTACGATGGGCCTGGGGACGCCCGGCGCACCTGTTCTGAGGTCAGGTGGAGGAGGCCTTCACGCCCGCAGCGCCGCTGGCCGGCCTGGGCTCCCCAAAGCCACCCCAGTCACGTCACGCTGGCTTGCCTGGGGTAAGGCACACAGGGTGCTTCCTGTAAACCCACCGGGAAGCACACACTGCCCAGGAAACACAGGGGCCGTGGGGCACCCCTCTCCACCAGCAGCACTCTGGAAGCTTCCACGGCCAAGGGGCAAGGGGCAGGGGCTGTGCGGGGCAGCCTGGGGTGGCTCAGGACCTGGAGAAGCCCATGTGCTGCTGAGGGTTGGGGCAGAGTGAGCCGGGGCTCTGGCCGTGCCCTCCCTCCCGAGGAATGCGGGTCTCAGGGCCCTGGGGACAGACGGGGGGGGGGGGGGGTCTTTGCCACCTTGTCACACATTCAACTCTCGAGTATGTCCCTGAGCTCTCTCTCTCTTCTACCCTGGACACCTGCTAAGCGCCAAAGCAGCTCTTTTGTGAGTCTGGGGTACACAGCGCCCCCCCCCCCCCCCCCCCCCCCGCTGTCCCAGGGAGCCTGTCTGAACTGGAGCGGGCTGGATGTCCTTTGGAAGACGTGCGGAGGTTTCGGAATGACTCCTGGAATGAAAGTGGGCTCAGGCTGTCTGCGGGGTCGCCCCACACCGGGGCCCGTCCCCCAGGGGGGGAAATTCAGCTTCCCGACTCTGCCTCATGCAAAAGCCACCACCTTGCCAACTCCTCCTCTCTTGCTCTGCCGCAGGGGTGAAGTCTCCTCCTCCTGCCAACAAGCAGGACGGGTGCGGCCTAACCCCAATCATGTCTCCAAACTTGTGCCCTCTCGCGCTTAGGGAGAGGCAGGGAGGCGGCTCCCATGCATGCCAGCGCCGACTTACAGCCGCCGCGAGGATGTCCTCTTGGTGGGCACGGTGCCCCTCCCACCTGGCCAGGCACAACGCCGGCCGCGTTGGCGCTTTGAGCTCTTCTCATTTTGATGTGGACACTGGAGAGCACGTGGGGAGTTCTGCTCGGTTTCCCCGCCACGCAGGATTAAGCAGGCCGCTGGGGTTTGTCGGGGAGCTGCGCTGGGTGGGTGGGGGCCAGGGCGCGGGTCTGGGCGTGGGTCGGGGCGCGGGGTCACTTGCGTGGCTGCTGGATGTTCTGGGTCCTCGGGGAGGCGTGCTTGTCCATGGAGGCGTGGGGTTTCTGGTGAGCCACCTGGGCGGCCGCCGGCGGAAAGTCCTTGTCGCCCTGTCAGGAGCCAGGGAGACGCGGCTGATCAGTAAATGGGTTCGAGCCGCCGCAGGGGAGGGGGCCTAGGGGATGATGGAGCACAGGTCCACGGGGAGAAACTGTCTTCCCGGGCTCAAAGGGGCCCAGGCCATTCAGAAACGAGGACACTGAGGGACGGGGAGGAGGCCCCGTGTCCCGAGACACAGAAACTCTCCCGCTCAGCAGTGGCATGGGGAAAAGTGAATGGCTGTGCCACTGAACCACTCAGGGACGCCACTTTCATCCTCATGTGTCACAACATGCCCTCCCTCCCGCCCCGCCCTCCTTCCTAGTCTCCTTCTAGAACAATCCTAGAACAACACTCAGGGTGTTGTCCCTGAGCTTTAGTGCGTAAGGCAAGTGCTTTACGACTTGGGCCACAGCTCCACTTCTGGCTTTTTGGTGGTTAATTAGAGATGAGTCTCATAGACTTTCCTGCCCAGGCTGGCTTTGAACCTCCATCAGATCTCAGCCTTCTGCGTAGCTAGGATGACAGGTGTGAGCCCCCAGCACCCAGCACAACATGTACTTTCTATATTCATTTCTTCAATCATTTTAAAAGGAGAAAAATGTACCCAACTCAGGCACCTTAATACCACCTGGTAGTTTGGGGAGTCCTGGCTGAGTCTCCAGGGAAGGGCAAAGGCTGGCGGCCAGGGGCTTTAGCTGGGAGCTCCACCCAGTTCCCACCGCAGGTGCACGCTCCGTGAAATGTGACAACGGGAGACCTGGTCCCCAGACTGGAGCTCCAGGGCTGCAGAGCCTGGGCAGAGCTAGGGGACAGGAGGGCGGATGCAGTGGGCAGCAGGCACTTACCCGGGCAATAACACCAGAGATGAACACGGTCGGCTTAGGAGGGCTGGAAAAACAAGGGAAGGCGTGGATTTAATCACATAACTCACAACAGGGAACAGCCGTGATGTGGAAGTGGACATTCATGGTCTAGGGTGCACAATGAACTTTCCACCAACCGAGGAGGAGGCAAGGGACTGGTGAGCAGAGCAAAGTCTTCCTCTATCACTTGTCACAATGACCACGCGATGGGTCTGGGTCCCTTCCCAGGGGCCCGCAGGCCACCCTGCATTGCTATCCGATGCTGTACTTGGGCTGGTAGACAGCAGAGCACGGAAAGAAGGAAAATCCCTGTGCACCCAGCACAGCCCGATGCCAGCAGCTGACCCCCACAGAGACCTTCAGGATGTGGTTCAAAGCCAGCCTGGGCAAGAACACAAGTTTGCAAGACTGCACCTCCAATGAACCAGCCAACTGCTGACCTGGGAGATGTGGTTCAAGTGGTACAACGCCATTCATGAGCAAGGAAGTGGAATGAGAGCGCCGGGTTCTGACATTAAGCCCTGGTCCAAGCCCAGAACAAAAGCAAAACCACCACAAAACCAAACCCCTGCGAGACCCATGCTTCCCGTGCATTCTTCTGACCCAAAGAAGGGGATGGGCAGGGCTGGTCCCGCACTGCCGAGGGGCTGCTGTGATGGCTCATCCCCTCCTCTGCCCAGCACTGGCTGCGTCTTGGGTCCCCTGCAAGCTTGGCCCAAAGCCCCAAGTTCTACCTTTTCCATCTCCGGTTAACAAGATCTTTCCTCAGCTTGAGAATGGCTGTTGGCCGCATGTGGACATAAAATCCTTTCTGAGGTAGGAAAGCTGCACTAACGTTCACAAATGAGAAAGCCTGGTAACAAATCTGGGTGCATCACTGGACCTGAAATAAAATCTGCACACAACGCACAACCTCCTCCGAGGATTGACGGAATCTGTGGGCATCTTCCCGGCAGGGGCCGCTTTGAAGATGCTGTGGTTTTTCTCTTAGGGGACAGAGACAGCCCAGGCTGGCACCCCTGCCCTCCTGCTGCTCAGGCCTTCCCACTGATTTCCCATCAGGAAGTGCTAGCCGGGTGTGGTCAGGACGACTTCCCACCGTCAGTCAGCGCAGGCTGCAGCTCTGCCACACGGGACCCAGTCACTGTGCACGCACGCCGCCCCTCCCGGAGATCGCATGCAACCGAAGAGCCCGGCCCGTTGGTCTCCCCATTTCCCTGGTGAGGAAGGCCATCCCCCCAGCATTTCCTGGAAGCCTCCTACGGGCAGGCTGGATGTTCACCATGCTCAGCCGCCCTGAGCCCAAAGCTCTCCTTGAACTCCAGCGTGGCCATTACAGAACTCAGTTCAACCTCGTACGCAACCCCGTGGCCCCAACACTGCCATCTTTTCTGAGCTCGGGGATTCCTAACCGTTCTCACTGGCAGGGGGCTGGGACGCCATGACTGTATTTCTGGCTACCACATGCCATTCCTGTCCACGGGCCACACCTAAGTGGCCAGGCAGCCGGGGCCTGCGGTACCCCTCACACACCTGCAGCGCCCCTTTCCATGCAGCACACGATTCTGGGCGTGGGGAGACCCGTGCTCCGCTTGCTCCCCCAAGCTTCTGGCAGGATTGGGTGGGTGGGATGCCGCAGTGGACTTTGGGGTGGGGAGAAAGGTAGGCTTGCAGGTCTGCAGGAGATCACGTCACAGCACAGATCCTACCAAAGGTCACAGCAGATCCTGAGCTTTTCCAGAGAGTTCTACTTACAGAATCATTCCCTTTGTGATCTAAGTGCAAGTCCAAGTCATTTTCTGCAAATGCTTTTTTACAAAGAAATTCAATGTCACATATGGTTGAAGGACTAGTGGGAGATGTTTGTGCAGGAGAGGACATGAACAGCCCTCAACCTGCCGTTTGCTCTGTTTTCTCTCAATCTAGGACAATAATAGTTACTATTTGTTGATCACCTACTATGGGTGTGACGCCAAGTTGGAGAATGATTCCATCAAACCTTCTCCATAACAGTAAATCAGAGAGTTAGCATCCTGCCCGAAGGTTGCACAGCAGTGCGGGGAGCCGGACTTGGAACACAGCTTGTCTAGGGCCTGTGATCATGGCCATGAGTACAAGTCCCTCATCTGGGGACCTCACATTTTAAATTCTGTCTTCTGGAGATGATTTAGAGATGCAGAACCTTAAGCTCTCAATGTAATCCTAGAGGTTCTTGTTCAATCAGACTACGTTATATTCAAATCTATCTAAGCATTTGCTTTCTGACTTTACTGACCCACTTTCCTTAGTAGCTTAGCAGGTGTGATTTCTATTGGATGGAGGGAACACCGGGCTAGAGAGGCTGAGAATGAAACCCAGGAGGCAGGCAGCTGGACAGAGCTTTGGGGCTGGGCTCCTGGTCAGTACTCCGCTCCAGCATCTCAGCAGGAGCACAGGGCGGTGAAGGCCTAAACCACCCATTCAGGTCCCAGCAGGAGGGCAGGAGGAAAGGCGGTGACAGATACCAGTAAATGGAGATACCAGTGCTGCGCTTGGTCTGTGTTTGAATCCTGACTCTACCAATGATCTGCAGGTAGGCTGGTACTGACATTTCTGAGGCTTAGTTTCTCATCTAATACGTAGGTTAGAAAGTATCTCCTTCACGAGGTGACTATATGGGTATGTTCATAGACACACAGAGACACACACACACACACACACACACACACACACAGACTGCTTAGCCCATAGCAAGCTCTTCACAAACACCAGCTATGAAGATGGCAGTGACAGTAATGATATGCCCCCTCTTCCCCTCCCCCACAGCCACCTTGAACTCCCACTGCTAACACTCATGACCTTGAGCTCGGCGGGCAGTTACACCCTGAGTGCTCAGGACAGAACTGTGTCCAAAGTCAGCGAAGTCTCCCATCAAAACGGATGTCACAAAACCTGAGCGCTGCACTTGAAGAGGAAGCTCTCTATTTGATCTGCACGCTTGACTGGGCTGCCAACTGTGTGGGCTCCGGGCCCCTGGAGACGTGAGGAAGGAGGGCCTGACCTAATGGCCCAGGATAGCGAGGAGCTGCGGGTGGGCTCCGGCTCATTACAGGGAGAGCTGGCCATGCTCGGGAGGACAGGAGCGGGACGGGGTCACCGCAGAGCCACCAGCTCTCTGACCCACTTTCCATTACAGCCCAGGAGACAGAGACAGGGGCCAGCCTTGCAAGGCCCCATCAGGAAAGGCAGGGGGAGGAGGAGGGGGAGGAGGAGGGGGTGGAAGAGGCTTCCCACGCCTGTCCATCCTTGGTCAAAAGAAGAGGCAGGGCCAAAGTTAGTCCCAAGGATGGGAACTCCCAGCGCTTTCCCTACAGCTGGAGAGAAGCTATTAGCAAGCAGGGAGGGGCTGGGTTCCTCACTTGGCTGCAGACACCACCTCAGGATACATCCCCAGTCTCCCCAGGCCCAGGCAGAGCCGCTGGAGCAGCCACCGCCCTGGGCCTCGAGGGGGTTTGTCCAGCTGTGGCACAGAAGAACAGATGCTGTGTGGAGACATGGGAGCTCCCGCCCACTCTGTGCACACAGAGGTGTTCTCTGTGAACAGAATGGAAGACGTGCAGCCCGTGCAGAGAAGCGTGGACAGAGGGGGCCGATGGCAAGCTAGAAGCAAATTCTCAGACCTTCTCTCGGCTGCTCATGGCATCCATGGGAAGTATATTCCCACCTGGAATGTTTTCGAAACCATTTCTAGTAAATAGAGGGAAAACAAATCCTCCCCTGCCCATTTGGAGTTCTTAAACTATCCTTCTGGCCTGGTCTTAGCTATTGGGGCTATTAGTTTTATGGGCACCAAAGCGGTTACAACAGGGTGGGTCAGCAGAGGGGAGCCGGCTGCCCCTCACCCCAGCCCCACCCAGCCGCCCCTGGTGAGCTGCAGGCCAGGCGGCCAGGCCTTCGGTACCTGGGGACACGGCCGCCAGGTGGCACTGCTGGTCCTCTGACTGGGCCGAAGCTGAGGTCCCTGTTCCTAGGTCTCCCAGACTGCCAGCTGGGGTGCGGGCTCCCAGATCCCCAGACTACCAGCTGGGGTGCCGGCTCCCAGACCCCCAGATGGCCAGCTGGGGTCCCGGCTCCTAGGTCTCCCAGACTGCCAGCTGGGGTCCCGGCTCCTAGACCCCCAGACTGCCAGCTGGAGTCCCGGCTCCTAGTTCCCCAGACTGCCGGCTGGGATCCCAGCTCCCAGACCCCCAGACTGCCAGCTGGGGTCCCTGCACCCTGCGCAGCCTGCACCATCCACGTGCCCCAGCGCAGGGCCGGGCCTGCGAGCTGCGGCCGTGTCCGGGGCTCTTCTTCCCGAGCCAGCCTCCTCCCCACCCCTCCCCCAGGAAACACCGGTGACCCCCAAGGGGAGGAGTGAGCTCTGGGAGCCACGAGCTTTGGTGCGCTCCGCACTCCGCCACGGGCTGGGGGCGCGGCCTTCTGTGCGGATGGCCTGGCTGCCCTGAGACCTGGGCTGGAGCCACGCACGCGGAACCACGCGCCCGGCGCCATCTCCGTCATGGAGTCATGCACACGCGGACCCACGCGCCCGGTGCCGTCTCCGTCACGCACACGGACCCACGCGCAAGGTGCCCTGTCCATCGCGCACGCGGACCCACGCGCAAGATGCCCTGTGCATCGCGCACGCGGGCCCACGCACAAGGTGCCCTGTCCATCGCGCACGCGGGCCCACGCGCAGGTGCCCTGTGCATCGCGCACACGGACCCACGCGCAAGATGCCCTGTCCATCGCGTACGCGGACCCACGCGCAAGGTGCCCTGTGCATCGCGCACGCCGGCCCACGCGCAAGGTGCCCTGTCCATCGCGCACGCGGGCCCACGCGCAGGGTGCCCTGTCCATCGCGCACACGGACCCACACGCAAGGTGCCCTGTCCATCGTGCACGCGGACCCACGCGCAAGGTGCCCTCTCCATCGCGCACGCGGGCCCACGCGCAAGGTGCCCTGTGCATCGCGCACGCGGGCCCACGCGCAAGATGCCCTGTGCA